TGGATCGCTTAACTGCCGCACAATGCGTAAAAATTGCTGAATTCTACTACAAAGCTGGTGACTAATGGTGAATGTCTGCGTTTCGTGCCTCACTACTTTATTTTTGTAAAATATTTTCCAAAAAAAAAAAAAAAACTTTAAAAAACAACAACAACAAAAGCTGCCTTGCCCGAAAGATGTCTACACTCCTTTGTAACTTTTTAGCGTAGCAAAACTCAGGTAAATAGTTTGTTTTCTATATATTTATTGCAAATTAGCCAGGCTTAATTCGATTGATGCTTTTCTTGGTAAAAGTATGTAGCCTTTTTTTTTTTTGCCATTCACCTTTGATAACTTCTTCTAGCTTCTTCCAGCATAGAAAGATGTCCGATTGAATTAAAATAGTCACGTAGATGCAATTTTTTGTACACAATATCTTTAGTTTCTGTTTTAAAATTACCAAATAAAATATTTTTTTGAAGTAGATGTAGTCTTTTATGACGTCACTGCTTTTGGCAGGGCGCTCTGTCGTCTAGGATTGCACATTCTAGGAGACCCCAATTATGTTTTTCATAATGCCACATACACATAGAAAAGATATTTTTACGTATCACTCATATCTACTATCCTGCAATTCCTGCAATCGTGAAACGCCAATAGGCTCTGGCCTGTCATTAGGTGAGCAAATGTTCTGTAGTCATTTCGAGATCGCATGAGCGTATCTTGTGTAATGGAAAAAGTTATTTTATGTACCAATTTTTAATTGATTAAATTTGTATTACAATATATTTACTGAAATATACATATAAACGTGAATGCCTTGCAGACCAAACCGAAAACCTAAACTACTGACCGTAGAGTGGAGGGTGCGTACTGTGTATAATGTGGCCAACCGAAGATTTTGTGGAAAGTGGATTTGAGATCGATCTGCTCAAAGAAACGCGATTTACTTGAAATAATTAGGAACATAGAAAGCCCTTTGAGTAGGTTCACATGCTTAGGAAATGAACGGGAAACCAAAATAAGTTGGGATTCAAAAAAAGTTGTTATATTTAAAAAAATTTTAATATTTTAGCACAATAATATATATATTATTATAAAATTTAATAACGTGAAAAACAATTCAAAAATTTATTTTTCCTTTTTTGAAACTCTATACGGATAATATCGAGGGTAAGAGCTAGTATTAAATATATACATATATACATAAATGAATCCGAAGAAAAAAAGTTTCTATCAAGCAAAATTTGTTATTGTTGAAAAAATAATAGAGAAATAAGTCATGGCATGCCATTTGCCATATTTATTCAAAAGGATTCTGTAATATTTTAAAAACCAGCAGAGGAAATAATTTTTGTGAAAGAAAAAAGGCATTTTAATAATTTATAACCAAAATGTATTTATGAAAAAGTTCCTATCTCTGCTATAGAAATTTCGGTTTGAGCAATATCAATAAACAAACAATTTTTGCATACCATTTACATTGGCCGATAACAACAACAACATTGGAGCTACATGTTGCATGAGAATCTACAGATATTATGGCGGCTACGGTCACTCGCTAATTATGGTGTTAGCTGATGGAGAAGTTGTAGTTGTTTTTTTATATTTTCTTATATCCGTTTTTACGTTTTTGCGTTTTTCCTCCTCATTAGTTTCACCTCATTCACCAAGAGTAAACAGAAACAATGGTAAAATTGGCAGCTACAAATATGCCGCAAACAAGCACACAGAGCAAAGAAACACAAAAAAAAAAAAATAAAAAAAAACAGAAAAAATTCAAGACACTTTCAAATACTCGCACATACGCGTATAAGCAAACCCATACAGCGGTGTCTTGCGAACAAAGGTGAAGTGCAGTGCGAGAAAAAATTGCTATTGACAAGTTCTTGATCGCTTTATTTCGCTTATTGTTGTTGTTCTTATTGTTTTGTTGTCATTTACTACACACCAATGTGGCAGCAATCAATCCATACAATGTTGCCACTTTTTATATATATATTGATGGTTTACTCTTTCCTTTTTGTTTATATCCTCCTTTAGTCTGCCCGCAATGTCTTTTGTTGCTGACTGCAGCCGGTGCTGTTGCAGCTCTTCTTTTCCGCTTTTTCCTTTGCTGCTTTGTTTTTTTTTTTTGATTTGGTTTGCAGTTGCTACATGGCAGATTCGGCGAGGAAGAAAGAATTGTTGTAAAATCACTATCAACTAAAAAGTGCATGCAAATTGCGCCTGAGCCTGTATTAGAACTCAATATCCCAGCAAATAAACATTTGTGAACCATATGATCCAAATGCGGCAGTCGATCTTTGAAAGGTATGATCGCATGCAATTTTTCGTTCATACTCCGCAATACAACCCCAATTGGGTAGTCACAGGAGTACTTCGACGATATGTTAAGGGGGAGTATATATTCCAGCCAATGGGCATATGAGACCATAAAATTTTCGTATGGATTGTGGTTAGCTTTGATACACTCTGTCATCCATAAGGAGGGCCTATTGCAGGCGTGTATGGAGTACTCGTGTTTTTCGCAGGGGTTTCGCGAGCTATATATACATATAAGTATATTGTAAGCTCTGTGTCTCTGTGTCTCTACCGGCCCAGCAAGCCTCACAAGCAACTAAAAAACCAAAGAAAAAATAAAAATAAAAATAAAAAAAGTATCGAATTTCATCGATGCTTTGCCTAAGTTTACTGACTGTTCAACTACAAGGTTTCATGTACGAGTATGTACATTTATGAAATATACATATGCTACAATATATTTATGTATGAGTATAGAGAAAAATTTCTTTGCATGTATAAGTATATACGTAAGTGTAATATGTATATATATATATATATATATGTATGTAGCACATTGTTTTCTGCTACAATCACCGTCATCCATCTCGCATTACCCTTCAAATGAGTCATCCTCAGCTGTTGACTGCCCTTTCATTTCCTTTGTTGTTGTTTTTTTTTATTACCTCACGCTTCATTATTGTTATTATTATATTTGTATTTATTATTACTTATTTGTACAATATTTATTGTACAGACTTAAGCTGTAGCCCCAACAGCCAACTAAAAGATTTATTCTCTCTTCTCAGAGCATTGCAGAAGATAAAAGAGTACCTACAAATAATTTATGCTTAGAAATAATACTCGTTTGTTTATATTTTAAGTTCAACTTGATTTTATGTTCGGACATTACTTATGTTTGGTAATATTTTATGTTTAGCAACATTTTATCTTTAGCTATAATGTCTATCAGGCCTATCAAAATTTTTGATAATTAAAATATTAAGCTTTCCAATATATCTATATTTTATGTTTAATTTAATTTTATGTTTTGCAATATTTTATTTTGAACCATATTTTATGTTTAGCAAAATTTTATGTTTTACCATATTTTATGTTTAGCAATATTTTATGTTTTACCATAATTTATGTGTGAAAATATTCTACGTTTTATGATAATAAATATAACTTTTCAGCACACAGTTTGTCTTTGAATTACAATTTTAATGCCAAAGTAAATTTATGTTTAGCGATATTTTTTATAAGAAATATTTTTTTTCATCAGCAATAATTTGTGTTAAAACAATACTTTATGTTTAGCAATAATTTATCTCTAGCAATGTTTAACGTTTAGAAATATTTTATGTCCCAATACTTTATATTTAGAAATATTTTGTTAAAAGAATAACATAATATATGTTTTTCGGTTTCACAATAATTTATGTTTTGCAACAATTTATGTTAAGAAAAATTTTATTTTGTGATAATATCACCATTTCATGTTTTGTTACGTTTAATTATATTTTATGGTAAACAATATTTCTTGTTTGGATCTTATATTTGTGAGCTTAATTTATTTGTATACCATAATTTGTTGGTCTAGATTTAATGCTTTGCCATCTTTTATGTTTATCAACAATTTTCGTTAGATACGAAACTTATAAGCCGAAGGAAGTATCTAAAGTATATCATTTCCAATCAAAAGTTTTTAAAATTAATTAATTCAATTAATTTCAAATTTGACCCTTCCTAATGTACGCTCCAGTAGACTTTCATACATACACAAATGTATATGAAAAGCATCAATATTCTCAACTACATACTCACGAATGTACACCTGTATGACTTTTTACAGCTGTGGCGTGGCTTTGAAGGTCAGCAGGGAAAAAATTAGTTGCGAAAAAATTAAATTAATATGTGAATGAAGCAGAAGGCGAAACAAATGCGCAAAACAATAAACACGCAGATATGAGTAGAAGTTTATACATGAGCGTTTGAATGTGCATATGTGTGGGGCAGAAAAACTTACTTTCAAATACAAACCTATTTAAATATTTCAAAATAATTACGTTTTGTGTCTCTACACTAGACACATAAAATTGAACAATAACAAAGCGAGTGTGTAGATAAAGGCTAGACTTAAATAATGTCGATATCAATGAAAGTATTATACCCTATAATTGTAATTACCAGCATGAAAGGGCAGTAATGACAATAAAATGTAAAATTCCTCGTAACTGAAACGTAGATTTACATATTTATAAAATCAATCTACACTCAGATGAACTAAAATAAAATAAACGTAAATGAATTACGTAAGTGAAATTAGCTTAAAAATATTAATTTAATTAACTAAATTAAAGTAATATAAAATAAAATAAAATAAAATAAAATAAAATAAAATAAAATAAAATAAAATAAAATAAAATAAAATAAAATAAAATAAAATAAAAAATGAAACGAATTAGGATAAAGAAGAAAAAAATTAAACAATATGAAGAAATAATATATAACAAAACTACTAAAAACAAAATAAATTAAAATTAAATTAAAAGAAATTAAAATAAGTGAAAAAAGGTCAAAATTAATATAAATAAAACAAAATTTATTAAAAATTTAAAATTAATAAATTATTAAAACAAAAATAAATAATTCATTATATCAAAAAAGAGGAAAATTTTCAGGAAAATACATATGTACATATTTTTAATTATAAAAAATTTAAATCAGGTGTCGAATAGTATCAGTGTAAATCACAGTTGAAATAAACTTACGCTGATTAATCACTAGAGATTTCAACAAGTCACTCACCTGAAATGTAAAAATTATTTTATTAGAAAAAAATGCATATTTTAAAATGCAACTTATTACAAAAATGTTCTTTTTAAATAAGCAGAACACTTATAACAGGACCATTAAGAACAAATATTGATCAAATATATTTATGAAAGTGCGGCTATAAGTCCATATATGCAAGTAATGTTTACTATTAGGTAAAAACTAAAATATAATGCGCTTATAATTTTTCAACACAAAATCTTGCAGACACCTTGTAGGCTGTAGTTGTAGTTGCCTTGAATCCACGGCAACTTTTACAAAGTCATTTTTGATAAATTGCTTCCGCTAATGTGCTATTATAAAAGTTGAAAAAATCACTCGATCATCTACCGGCAACTATGTATCTACATATGTATTGCCTATGTAACAGTCAGAGTATTATATTTGTGTAGGTGTACCTACAACGCATATGAATAATCTGAAACTAAACTTTTTTCAAACCCGATTTTATTAACATATTATGGCACGAATGCGATGAACAACTTGAAATAATTTGTAAATAAATCCACCAAAAAAAAAATATATATAAATAAATATATATACAAACCTATGTTGCTTGGATGTTCAACACGTAGGTGTGTGTTATTACTTTACTACAAAACAATAACACAAAACCTGGCAGATTATAAAATGCTAATTGGCAGTGTGTAGCAACAGAGGGATACCAAATTATGTTCCAATATAAAACGAATGTATTTTGAAATAAAAGAGTTGTAGTTTTTTTTTTAATAATCTAACAGTTAAATATATATATATATATAAATATAAATAAAAATATAAATATAAATATAAATAAAAATAAAAATATAAATATAAATAAAAATATAAATATAAATATAAATATAAATATAAATATAAATATAAATATAAATATAAATATAAATATAAATATAAATATAAATATAAATATAAAAATAAATATTTTTCGGACCATTTTTTTTTTTTTTGATTATGGAAGCTCTTCTATCTATATCATAATGGGCTTAGAAGTTCAGCCAATTCGAAAAATCGGGTCTTCATCAAATCGGAACAAGATTTTTTGTACTTTTTCTTTTACAAAAAATTTCAGAAAAACCTACATTGAACCTTCTTGAATATTTAGGAAGTAAACTGTAAACGTCCATTTTGATATTGTACATGGAATCCCAAAAACGAAATAAGCTGGATATTAGCAACAGAACAGTTTGTGCCTACTGGAGCACGTTTTCTGTTTTTTTTTTTTAGCTTGGCGCAAATATAAATGCCACACTCAAACTAATTGACTACTCCTCTTCAGTTAAGCCAAGCGCTTTGATCCAACAGCAAAGTAGAGTAAAATGAGCGCAGCCACGGCATATACAGCGAGGGATGGACCACAGGAAGTCCCCAAGGTAGCGAGCGCTAGAGCCAGAACAATCAGTCATTTCATTTCACACGCATACACACACACCCAACAGCCCACCGGTGCACAGGACAGACACTTAGCATGCTCATCAATTGCACACGACAGCAAAAGAGAGACCAAAAAATCCGCACGTTTTCAACAGCGCCATCAGCACCACAAACCAGCAAGCAACCACCTTCATCAAATACAACACTGCATGCATAGAGCGCGTTGGCAACAACCGACAGCAGAAGTGGTGTAGCACTCTTACCCCCATCACCTGCTCTTTGCATATTTACCGAGACGACTCAAAATGAGCCTTACAAACTAGTTTCTTCAAGTGGATTGTTAGCCGAAAAAACTGGAACAGTGCATGACAAGAACGCCAACGATGTTGGGGACAACGTGTACGTGAAAAAGCACAACAAAAAGGACGAGATTGTGAGAAGCAAATGGTGAACGGTTTCGGAGGACGGAGGGCTTTTCCGAGTGCACTGGATATGCACTTTGTGTGCAAGGATATAGAGACCGCAGCGCGTGTTCAGGTTAAGTTTTTCCCCTCAACAAAGCTCGTTCAATTGAGTGCCTACCCGGCATGAATGATAGTGCGAGTATATGTATATATATATATATATGGGTGTATGTGTGAGTGTGTGTGTGCATGTCGAGTATATACATATGAGTGTGTAGTTAGTTTTGCGTGATTTTCGTTACGGTAGTATGGAAGCAATTAATGCTGCAAAGGTGTTGCAGTAGACCGGAATGCGGAAAGCAGCACAGAAACGATTTCAACGTTAAAAATAGCTACAACAATAACAACAAGCAAGGTATCCGGTTTAATATAAGCAGTTATTTTGAGCATCTCCTCCTCGTCCGTTCATCCTTGTGATGGTAATTTAAAGTTTTCCGCTTAAAAGCGGTAAGGCAGCCTCAAAATCAGAAAAACTGCAACAACAAACAACCAACAGCAACAGTAGCATTTGCATATATTTATTTTGCGTTTAAAGCGTTTTTGAGAAAAATGGAAATTTAATGATGGTTAAAAAACAAACAACAAACTGCATTGCACAAGCAAGGGGTGAAATTTTTAATAGTTGGCGGAAGTTTGTAATGAATTGTTGTTATACTCCGGCAGAGTGATGTTCTTGTCAGCTATGCGGGTGAATTAAAAAGTTATCAAAATGATTATAAACATGGAATGGAATTGAAAAGTTCATCAATTTGTTTACTATAAATTTGTTTTCTTCTTTTAAATCGTTCAAACAAATTGTATTTTAGTTAGCAGAGATTTTGAAGGGACGCTCAAAAAGCAACTAAAATATATTTGAAAACTACGATATACGTATATGTATGTATGTAAAAAAGTTTTTATTCAAAACATTATTACGTGTTCAACACGCCTGCTAAACAATATTATAAGGATTCCAATATTTGAAATTTTTTATTTAAGTATTGTAAATTATAAATAAAAATTTATTTATTTCTCTTTACTTTATTTAATATAATTTAATTGAATTTAAATTAATTTAAATTAGTTTAACTTAACCTTTTGTTTTGCCGGTGAGGAGAAGAGAAATGCCATCCGCATCTCATCAATGGTATGTGCCATTGGCACTTAACTTTTTTTATTTATCTTTCTTAATTATTTATTATTTTATTTTACTTTATTTTACTTTATTTTTATTTAATTTAATTTTATTTTATTTTAGATTACTTAATTTCATTTTTTTTATTCTAATTTAATTTTATTTCATTTAATCTTTTTTTACGTTGATTTATCTGATTTTGTTTTATTTATTTTATCTAGTTTTACTTTATTTCCTATTATTTTATGTGCTTTTACTTTATTTTATTTTGTTGAATTTTATTATTTTAATCTATTTAAATTATCTTTTTTTATTTTATTTTACTATATTTTATTTCATTTTATTTTGTTTTACTTTATTTTATTTTAATTCACTTTATTTTATTAAATTTTATTATATACTTTTTTATTTTATTATAATTTGTTTTAATATAGTAATTTTATATTTTAATTTAATATATTTGATTTAGTTTTATTAATTTCATATAATTTTTTATTATTTTTTTTTTTAACTTATTTCTTTTCCCTTTACTTTTTTATTTTGCTTAATATTATTTTTTATCTATTTTATACTATTTTATTTTATTTCACTTTATATTATTTTATTGAATTTTTTTTAACTTTATTTCTTTTTTTTCTTAATTTATTTGATTTTGTTTTATTTATTTTATCTAATTTTACTTTATTTTTTTTAAAATATATTTAAATTTTTACCCTTTTACTTGATTTTATTTCGAATAATATTATTTTCATCTATTTAATACCATTTTTTTATTTGATTTTATGTTATTACATTTTATTTTTTTTTTATTTTATTTTATTTTATATTATTTTATTTTATTTTATTTTATTTTATTTTATTTTATTTGATTTTATTTTATTTGATTTTTTTTTTGATTTTTTTTAATTTTAAATCATATTGTTTATTTGAATTCAATTAATTTTTCTAATATTTATCTGATTGTTTCTTTTCGTAATTATATTATTTTACTTTATTTTGTTTTATTTATATATTTTTTTTGGTTTATTTTTTGTTATTATATGTTATTTTATTTTTTTAATTTCTAATTATATTTACCTAATTCTTTTACTTTACATTCAGCTTTATTCCTTTTCGAAAAAAAAATTAATTAATTTATTTACATATCGGCAAGTTATAACAACAAATATGCCTAGTTTGCTGCGGCGGCCGCAGTAGCCGAGTGGTTGGCATTACTTTCTGCCGTTCGGGGGGCTCGTGTTCAAGTTCTCGCGCGACCATCAACGAAAAGTTATAGAAAGTTAATTTAAATAAAAAACTAAGTCAAATTTTCTTATTGCGGTCGTTCCTTAAAAAAAACCATCAGCCGTTCGGAGGCAGCTTAGTATAAAATGTAGGTCTCTCCATTTGTTGGAAAAACATCAAGACGAAAAGCCATAAATTGAAGGAGGAGCTCGGTCGAAAATCGCTTCAGTGGTTACAAAGCGCCAATTATGTACACATATATATATATATATGTACGTATATCGTATATAAATATATTATTGTGTTATTTAATTACATAAATGGTGTAAAAAATATATATAAACAGAAATGGCGTTCCAGAAAGTTCATTGTCCTCGATTACATAAAATTTATAATTTTCTTACTTAAAAAGTCCCCGCTTCAATATTTCAGCTTTAGATTTTCCTGCAAACGGCTTCAGCCGACAAAAGTGTGTTTACGTCATATGATTATTAAATTGTGTAGGCATGTTCTTTTGTAATTTAATATCGTCCCCATATGAACACCAACATGCATACAAACATACATTCATATGTGTATAAACGTCATGCCACCAGATGTGAAAGGAAAAAAATATACGTTGACACACCTTAAAATGTAGTGAACTAGAAAATCGGTTATGCATTACTTACAAACACGCACGGGAAGGACATCAGGAGGATATTGCGTAATCACGCTGAGTTGAACAGAGAAATAGGCATACATACGTATCTACTCAGCAGACGTAGACAAACCAACTGAGACAATCTGGGCTGTGTGAC